GTTTCCACAAAAATATGAAGCAGCACAACTGTTTTCAACACTGATAATAATCAGAAATGTTTCTTGAGTAGCAAATCAGCATATTAGAATGATTTCTGACGGATCATGTGACACTGAAGACTGGAGTAATGATGCTGACAATTCAGATTTGATCACAGCAATAAATTACCTTTTAACATATATTCACATGGACAAGTTATTTTAAATTGCAATAATATTTCACAGTTTTTACTGTATTTTTTGATCAAATTAATGCAGCCTTAGTGAGCGGACAGGACTTCTTTCACAAACATTAAAAACTCTTCATAACTCCTAATGTTTGGCTGGTCGTGTGAGATTGTTTAATCACATGTGCTGCTCAATGATCATGTGACGTCAGCACATGCCTACACACATGGATGATTATTGTCACTGGGTCAGAGGTCAGAGGTCATGCCGAGGAAGCGTCTGATACAGTTAGCACACACACACACACACACACACACACACACACACTGATCAGTGGTTCTGTACCTGCAGCACTTCACAAGCACTCCACTGATCTCTGAGCGCCATGGACACAGATTCCAGCCGTCAGTCTCTCTCAGTAACTTCCTCCTGATCGTCTCACGCAGTGTAGTACAGTTAGCGCGCGCCTCGTGCTCATGTTAGTACTGACTCAGCTGAAAATGATGGCGGGTCACCATGGCAACAAGAGATGCTGCTGCCGCTGCTCCACTCGAGCATCATCACTGCACATCTGAGTCAGTCCCTGCTGCCCTGCGTCATGTCTCAGTGAGGTGCAGTGAGAAGCTGCCTGCTGTTGTGTGTGTGTGTGTGTGTGTGTGTGTGTGTGCTGTACCTGTCTGGAGGCTGACGGATCTCCTGGTGTGGCGGAGGTACGGCGCTCTCCGGACGGCTCTGCGCTCGGCTTCATCCTCCCGAGAGGCCGCCATCGAGCTCCATCAGCGGCCGCTGCTTCACCGGGACGGGCAGAGTGTCGCGGCAGATGCTGGTGTCGATTAAACTCCAATAGTGTCTGTCTGCGGACTGCAAGAGAGGGGCAGTGTTCGTGGAGACGCGAGCTGAGCGTTCCTGCAGGGGGCGCTCGAGGCCTCACAGACAAAAGCAGAGAAATATTTGATAATGCATATGATCATCTGTTCGTTCCGAGGACTGGTGTCTGACGTACGAATAGAAATCCATTCCATCAGCTTTCATGGTGATGTAAAAAAAAAAACACACAAAAAAACATCATTCTGCGATTGCGACCGCGTGATTGGTCCATTCCCACCAGCGCGGATGTCACGTGACAGGTAACTAACCCCAGGGCTGCGTTCAGCTCCGACAAAACGGTGCAAAACGTGTTTTAAATGGAAACGGTGGTGCGTTGAACACTGTTCTGATGACGCAAGAGTTGCAGCTATGGCAGCTGAGAAGGCCATTCTTTGTGTTCTTTTTGAAGAATTTTCAGAGCCTGATGAAATCGGTATAAATACGTGTTTAATACGGCAAAATACGCTCGATGTTACAGTCACTGCCCTTGCCCTCCAGAATAAAAGAGAACATCCCAATCGAGTGAAGGGATTTGTGCAAACTGTGGTTCCTAATTATTGTGATCCAACATTTGCCTCGCATTTCAGGATGAAAAACAAACATTTCAGGTGAAGGATAATCCACTTCTTACCTCCGAGACTGTGTTATGATCTATATGACCTTATTATTTTTATCGTGAGTATTAGGCTTATCATTATTGCTGATCACTGTTGTTGTGCAGCAAAACGTTGCACACCGGTTTGAGCTTGAACTTGCCCCAGATAACACAGGTTATAAAACATTGCGAGAATATTGTTTTCAAATGTTTCTAAAACGTTGAATTGTCCATGTTATGGAAAGGTTACAAAAAGACATACTAACGTCTCCACTGCAAATATAACACTATTTGAACGTTTATTGTTTTTTATATTTGAAGAACGTTAAAATGTCCAGTTTCCTTGTCGTGATCAGTAAGTTATTTAAAGGTTAAGCCAAACGTTTCTTAGAATGTTCAAGTACAACATCATAAGGAGGAGCTTGCAGATCCCAGAATGTTTTCTCTCAACTTTATGATATCAAATATTAATACAGTTATAAGAACGATTTGTCCTAACATTTATATACTGTAGATATCATGTTGGCACAAGTTGCAAAATCAGTGATAGACATAAATAAAAAGGTCACAGATACTGGAAATAATAATTTCAGAAGAATCCAAAATAAATCAAATATATCATTTTATTTGTCACCATAAAATGGATCATGCCAGTAAACAATAAGAAGCCAATTCCCCAGCTAACAGAGAACATTCTCAGAATATTATCTTAGGTTCTGTCAAAGTTATGAACAAACATTCTTCCATTAACGTTAATAGTACAGTTGCTCAAAGTTATCTAGACTTTAGTAATGTTATCAACAAGTTAGCATGGAAACATTATTTATTCATTGTTCATAAATGTTCCGGGATATTTATTTATTTATTTTATTTGAGTTTCAGAACATTCAGAGAACATTCTAGAGTGACTTTCACATAATGTTTGCAAAATGACAAAATGTAACGTTCCTTTAATATTCCTGTAATCAAGAAAAAAAGGACACTTTGAACATTCAGAAATAATGTTTTATAACTTGAACGTTAGCAAAAGGTTCTTACAACATATTTTGGTTAGCTGGATCAGAATGTAACGCTACTCAAGTGTGAGAGATGCATGCACACACATATAAAGCAGGTCAAAAACAGCTTGTGAAACGAGTTCTATATTAGTAACTTTGACTCTCTACTCCACTATCTGTGATGATTGCAGTTACACATTACACTGTGCATGCCACCTATAGCTTTTTCTGCAGCACTTTATTCTGTGATATCACGACTACAGGACACTGAAAGCACTATATCGTGTGTGTTTTTTAGAAAATGAACATAATTGCTCTCCTCACAAATCAACTCTTTCTAGTTTTCACTGTCACGTCTCTGTGACTATATAGTGCATCTTTGAGCTTATATTCAGTACGAGTAAAATACGTAAATCAGATACTCCAAGACTTTAACTCAAGTTGTTTTGGAACTGGTGACTATTAATTTTCACTGTAAGGTATCAGTACTTTTACTCAACTCTTTACACTACCCGGATCAGTCTGTTGAGTGTGCACTGACTGAAGTGTGCTACTCTATTCCTACGGCAGAAACAGAGTAGTGTGCTAGTATGCGGCTCTGAATTCCCAATAACAACCAACTGCAGAACCGCAGAACCATACGTCATGACAGTCTGAGGACAACAGCGCCAGACTAACAATCTGAGGCCGGAAGTGGGCGGAGTAGCAGTATCAGATCGGAAGTGGGCGGAGTTCATGTAAACTAATAATGGCTGAAGACACGGTAAGAAGTTAATCGCGGCGTAATTACGATAGTTCAGTGAAAAGTTAATGAAAACGGAATCATCATGGCGGAAGAAGAGAAAACTGTAAAAAAATTATAATAATAATTGCCTTTGTGTTTTTAATCGATTGTTTTTGGATTAATGCTTAGTCCTCAGACTGTCATGACGTATGGTTCTGCAGTTAGTCCTATCTCCTGAATTCAGCATTGGACTGCAGTCTCATCATCTGCCACTAGAGAGAGCAGAGACACTACATCTCCATAGAAACAGACGCGCTTTGCGACACTTGTACATCCTTCACGACATGTTTATGTAGTTTACGGTAAGTGCGACGCCTGGGGAGGATATTTTCACCGTGACGTTACTCAGCGTAAGATTATTAAAGGTATGATGCGCTTTATCGCTTATTCTTATAGGAATGAGTATCTGTGATGGATCAGGCTTATCAGTCGAGCAGCTCTTTGATTTCATCTGCTCTGTTTTGCTGTGTTTTCGTCATTATAGCAGTGGATTACTTGATGTGTAGTTTGATGTCGTTGATTTAGTCTGTGGATCAATAAGTGCATCCAGCTGGACTGTAGTTCTGTGTGCTTTAATAGTATTAGCATTTGATTTTATATTGTGTTCAGTGTTTAATGACTAAAGCAATTCATTACAGTAAGTGGATGAGTAAAGTTCAAAAATACTTTAGTTGTTTCTTTTAGTGATGTTCACGAATGTAACATTTCCCTGCCTTTGACAGACTAACGATCAATAAATGCTGATTAATCAGCTGATGTTGAGGGCAGCAGCACACTGCGGGAGATGGACAGCTGTCAATCAAATCATCCGGACGAACTCAGGTGCGTGGCGGAAGCGGAAACACGCCTCATATTTACAGCAATTAGGCTAGACATAAGACAGACACATTATTCTGGTGTTTACCAAGTGAGACATCACTAGGACTACTGCTGGTGACACCTCTAGTGCTAACGAGCGGCTCTTTTCCACTTTGAAACACCCTAGCAACGCCCTGGTAACCACTTCGACTGTGTATGTATGTTATGTGTATGAATGTGTGTTTGTGCAGGTATGGCTGAGTTTCGTGAGATCTTCTCAAAGGCCCGACACATTGCCATCATCACAGGAGCAGGAGTCAGTGCGGAGAGCGGCGTACCCACCATCAGAGGAGCCGAGGGACGCTGGAGGACCTGGAAAACACAGGTCACTCACTCACACACTGACACACTCACACACTCACACACACACTCACTCACTCACTCACTCACTCACTCACTCACTCACACACTCACACACACACACATTCATTCACAGACGCACACACACACACACTCTCGCACGCACGCACGCACACAGAGAAAAACACAGAGACACACAGAAACACACTCACTCACACATACACTGACACACACACACACAGACCATTTTTTTTGCTTATTTTATTTAACCACAGCGGTAGTTTCATGACACACAACACATCCAGGTGTTTACAGAAACTGCAGTACAGGGTGCTCATGGTGGTCTGAGCTCCTTTAACAAAATGGATTTTTATAAAGTACATGTACTGTAGTCTTGGAGCTTAAGTCCACTTTTAGGGTGAGTTCATAATAGAAAGGATTCATTAATTCATGTGCTTTGAGAACTGAACAGATGATGTAAGCATAATAAATCACAATGAACAGTATTTTACAGTAATAATGTTTATGTTTGACATACAGTGGACATCAATAACGAGGTATGTGCACCACAACTAATTTAACAGTCAGAAATGTCCCATATAAACATTTATTAACATCAGCTGAACCAATAGGCAGTCGGCTGATGTGATTAAACCAAGTAAAATAAAATAAAAAATTGGTGGTTTTGCGAAACCGATTCAAAAGGTAGGATCAGATGTTTTATCAGGCTAATATTGTTTTTTATATTTTGCTTAAAATAAGTGCCTCCTTAAGTCAAGTCAAGTCACCTTTATTTATATAGTGCTTTATACAATACTGATTGTGACAAAGCAGCTTTACAGTGTTGAACAGGAAGAATGTGTGCTGATGATGCAAGAGTACAACAGAAAACAGTCAGCTCATCTTTGATTCAGTGATTCATCATCCAGCTCTCTTCCAATTGTGTCTGTGCAATCAAGTCGACAATATTGCCAGAAATTGTGAAACAATTAAAAGAAACAAACAATGTACAAGATAATCAAAATGCTCTCTTCATGAATGGAAGACAAAGTAAGTCAGTTATTGTCTTTCCTTGCCATCTACAAATATTTTTTTTCCCCATTAAAACATTGTTTATTATGAAAGGCTCTGATCCTGCTGATTAATTGTTAAATGTAGATGAAAAACACGTCACAAACCTGGTTCGTTTGAACAGTCAGAGTCATGTATGCAATGACAATAAAGACCTAACTAACTAACTAACTAACTAACTAAAATTGTAGAAAAAGTTGTGTCTGCTCAATTGTGCTCCTTCCTGCAAAAAAATGATCTCTATGAAGAATTTCAGTCAGGTTTCAGGCCCCACCATAGCACAGAAACTGCACTTGTTAAAATTACAAATGACTTGCTTCTTGCGTCAGACCAAGGCTGTATCTCATTGCTAGTTTTACTTGATCTTAGTGCTGCGTTCGACACTATAGATCATGACATACTCGTAGATCAATTACAAAACTATACAGGTATTCAAGGGCAGGCTTTAAGATGGTTTAGATCCTACCTGTCTGATCGCTATCACTTTGTCTATTTAAACGGGGAATCATCTCAATTAAATCCAGTAAAGTATGGAGTGCCACAAGGATCTGTCCTAGGCCCTCTGCTATTTTCGATATACATGTTGCCCCTTGGTAATATTATTAAAAAATACGGGATTAGTTTCCACTGTTATGCCGATGATACTCAACTATATATCTCAACAAGACCAGATGAAACTTCTAAATTATCTAAGCTAACAGAGTGTGTTAAAAATGTAAAAGATTGGAAGACCAATAATTTTCTCCTATTGAATTCGGATAAGACAGAGATATTACTTATTAAGGACTTTAATGACGCGTGTTTGGCTCTAGATCAAAATATTAGAGGATTTACCATGAACCGCCCTGACCCATTGTTTTGACACGCCGCTCACTTAAAACGGTAGAAACTGTGAAAGGCTGCTACCGTTGTTATATGTTGGTTCGCGGCTGTAGTGAATCCAGGTAAGACAGGAACACAGATCTGAATGATGATTTTTAATGTATTTGCTCAGTAATAAAATGTGTGGAATCACTCTTGCTAAAGTTCTGACTGTGATGGACTCTTATTTCGGTCTCTGTGTGTGTGGGCAGGATCTGGCGACGCCGGAGTGCTTCTCTCGTCACCCCAGCCGCGTCTGGGAGTTCTACCAGTACCGCCGAGAGCTGACCCTGAACGCCCCGCCGAGCGCCGCGCACAGAGCCATCGCCGAGTGTGAGGCGCGTCTCAGCAGACAGGGCCGCTCGCTGGTGGTGATCACGCAGAACATCGACGAGCTGCACCAGCGCGCCGGATCCAGACACGTGCTGGAGGTCCACGGTCAGAGCTCACAAACACGACACACCATCACAGAGATCGACATCAGCAGAGGAATAGAGTTTGCTGTCAAGATCAGAAATACTGAGTATAGTCCTGGAAGAAGCTTGGTTTTATCCTTAGACTCCCCGTGGCAAATACGACTGTTCACCCTAAAATCTGTTGTCATTGTATTGAGGATCTTTCTATAGGTGTTACAGCTTAAAACTTAGAAATGAGGCTCCTGTTTGAAGCACATGCAAACTATAGTCTTGCATTAACAACGACATTTTCTATTGGAGTAATATTCATAGCTTCAAATACTGGAAAAGAGCTTGAATTTCACTTTCAGAAAGGTGGATGAACACTGAAATTACGTTTTGCTTAAAATAAAGGATTCGTTTTGAGGAGCATAAATATTTTCTCTATACATTTCTATATATAAAGTCATCCAGCTCTAATCTGCTAAATGACACTATAAGGCATTAAGATAGTAAAATATTATAAACATTAACATCATGATTTCCTGGAAAGCTGCTTTCTAATAATGTGTGCTGTGAAAGGCACTATTCAGATTTGGTGTGACTTGTGGACGCAGCATGACATTAAAGCAAAGCTTTGATCTCCACTAGATAAAACTTAATAAATAACCTCAATAATTACAGTATGTCTTGTCCTTGTAGTTCAGTCTGCTTTGAATAGACATCCATAGTCTGTGGCTGCGGTTATACCGACTCAATCAGCAGAACCGAATAAATAGATTTAGTTTTGGATTTGGTTGGTTAGCATCTTTTTTTGGTGTTCGTTTGACAGATGTGTTGAAATCTTGTGCTGTGTGTAGGAAATCTGTTTCAGACCAGATGTTTGAGCTGTGGAGATGTGGAGATCAATCACAAAAGCCCCATCTGTCCATCACTGGAGGGCAAAGGGTAGGTGACGCTCATCTGTACCCAGAAATCATTACAGTCCAGGTCCCAGAGACCCGCTGTATTCAGTGAAATGCTGGACAGTCCACCATAGCAGCTCCGTTAATAACGCTAATCTAGACTGGGATTGATGAAGCATTGGTCAGCATGATGACTGTGTTGATGTATCATGTCTGTCACCCTTCATTCTCTGCCAGATCACCTGATCCTGACGCACCTGACGCGCTCATACCTGTCAAAGACCTGCCCAGGTATCCCAACAACACAGCACACACTAAACCGAATTCACCCAAAAGAGAAAATGTGCTGAAAATCTGTCCGAGATCAGGATGAGTTTGTTTCTTCATCAGATTTGGAGAAATGTAGCACTGCATCAGTGTCTCAGCAGTGGATGCTCTGCAGTGAATGGGTGCCGTCAGAATGAGAGTCCAAACAGCTGATAAAAACATCACAATAATCCACAAGTAATCCACAGCACTCCAGTCCATCAGTTAACATCTGGAGAAGACAAAAGCTGAAACAAATCCAGCATTAAGACGTTTTTTAACTCAAATATGAATCCATAATCCATAATAACGCTTCCTGCAGTGAAAAAGTGCATCTGCTGTTGTCTCTCACATCAAAATCCAGCCACATATTTGTTTAGAGCTGTTTAAACGCTGCTTGATCTGTGCAGATTTCTCTCCTGATTCAGACCAGAACACTTTTTCACTGGGGGAAGCGTTATTATGGATTATGGACCCGTATTTGAGTTAAAAGCGTCTTAATGCTGGATTTGTTTCAGCTTTTGTCTTCTCCAGATGTTAACTGATGGACTGGAGTGCTGTGGATTATTGTGATGTTTTTATCAGCTGTTTGGACTCTCATTCTGACGGCACCCATTCACTGCAGAGCATCCATTGCTGAGTACTGCTGACATTTTCAGTAAATGTTCAGTTTGGGGTGAACTCTTCCTTTAGTACTGATTGTGTGTGAGCCGCAGTGCATCTGATATCTGGTGCTGTTCTCTCAGGTGTGATGAGAAGGGCTGTGATGGGCTGCTGCGGCCGCATGTCGTCTGGTTTGGAGAGACTCTGGACTCTCAGATCCTCACTAAAGTGGAGAAGGAGCTGGAGACGTGTGACCTCTGTCTGGTGGTTAGTTTCACTCTGATCTGAAAGTTTTAGTTTTGAAAGCTTCTGCTGATGAGGTAAACACGTCTGTTTTTAATCATGCTCTTTTGAAGTCATGTCTGCTCTGTGTTCGTGTCTTCAGGTCGGCACGTCCTCCGTCGTTTACCCAGCAGCCATGTTTGGTCCTCAGGTGGCGGCCCGCGGCGTTCCAGTGGCCGAGTTCAACACTAAGACCACAGCAAACACACCGCGCTTCAAGTGAGATTATCCTGCAATTCACACTTAAACACAGAAAATATGCTGTTTCTGAAAATAATTACACAAGGAATAATGTCCAGCGATCAGGAGCCGACACAAACCACGACTGTTTATTACACAAATAAAACATGGACATAAACATAAAATAAGTTATTTTGAAGAATGTTGGTAACCAAACATTTGACAGTAGCCATTGACTTCTGTAGTATGAGAAAAATGTCATGGAAGTCAATGGCTACCATCAACTGTGGATACCAACATTCTTCAAACTATCTTCATCTGTGTTCAGCAGAAGAATGAAACTCAGGATGGAAACAACTTGAGGGTGAGTAAATGTTGACAGAATTTTCATTTTTTGGTGAACTAACACTTTTAAAATGTGGAAAATCTAAAATGAAATCAATAAATAATTTTCTTTAAAACAATCTTCTATTGTGTTAATATATTTTAGTTTATGTTCACCAAAAATGAAAATGACCCCATGATTTACTCACCCTCAAGCCATCCTAGGTGTGCATGACTTTCTTCTTTCAGACGAATCCAATCAGAGTTAAAAAGTGCCTCACACGGCTCCAGGGGGTGAATAAAGGCCTCCTGTAACAAATCAATGCGTTTGTGTAAGAAAAATATCCATATTTAAAACTTTATAAAGAGTAATCTCTAGCTTCCGCTAATTGTCGTATAAATAGTAATAAGTAAACTTTTAAAGGTCAGATACAGACTGAGATAGTGATCAGTCATTAGACGCAGAATGTTAGCAGTAGAATTATTATAATTATTATTATTATACACGCGCACACACACTCACACGCAAACACACTCACACACACACACACACACACACACACACGCAAACACACACTCACTCGCACACACGCACACACAAACACACACACGCAAACACACATTCACTCACACACATGCACACACAAACACGCACACACACACTCACTCACACACCCACGCACACACAAACACACACACGCAAACACACACTCACTCACACACCCACGCACACACAAACACACACACGCAAACACAGTAACCCACACACACACGCACAAACAGACAGATACACACGCACACACTCACACTCACGCACGCACTCACACTCACACACACACACACACACACAAACACACACGCACACACAAACACACACACACACACACACACACACACAGGAAGGACCCTTTGCTTTAAACCAGGCGCGGTTTGAAATCAGTGATGCGCGATTAATACGATAGTCACGGTAATATACGAGAAGCGCAGAGAGACGTGCTTTCTGCACCGCTTTGCGTAATAAACAATCTTCTCTTTTACAAAATTAAATGCAAATAACGAATGCATGAAAAAGGCAAGTAAATAAAGAACAATATTGGTCTAATATTGGTGCTGCTCTTTCTTGCTAATTTTGGGCTGTTCAGTGAGATTTCATTGTATAGTAAAGCGTGTGCATGTGAGTCAGTGTGTGTGTGTGTGTGTGTGAGAGAGAGAGAGAGAGAGAGAGAGAGAGAGAATGTGCAGGCTGCAGCATGTGTTCACCTGTCACAGCATGAAGGACAGTGAGTGATCAGCTCCAGTCTGTCTCCTGCACACTTTATTACAATTTTTCTCGATTGCTAACACACAATTCATGAAACAATTCACCATTTTCTCACAACTATAAACACAATCTTAAAACTACTACTACTACTACTGTACAAACTTCAAACTTCCAGGTGAAAGTCAAATATTTTAGTCAAAAACACATTCTCTTTTATCAGACTCAAACTTTGGCCTCAGTAACACACAAACCTGCCAAATACACACACTGCTTCACTGCCTAGAGAACACTAGTGAGATCAATTCAAAACACTGTTACAAAAACCTCCTTTTGGGAAACAGGAAACATTTTGCAAGTCAATGTCTGTTACA